TTGGATTCTGTCTGCATTGAGCCCCGTGTGATAAGGTCCACTGTTAACTGCTGTTTCACTTATCTATGGTAACCCCTGTGGATACAGAGGAGAAGTGACCACAGTAATATAAACATAGCAAAGAAAAGAGTTCTAGGTGTAAATGATTTTCAATATCTCAGTCTCTGCAATGCTAGAAATTTGAGGACTGAAGGAAAATTTCATTAGGGGAAACAATTTTTATTTGGGAGGATAGGCGTTTTGAGTGTTGGACTATGGAGACCAAAGTTTGATTCCCACTCAGCCATGAGACCTGCTGGGTAACCTTGGGCAAGTCACATACTCTCATCCTCAGGGGAAAGCTTGAAAAAATGGCCACTGGAGCACCCCTCTAAGCAGCGATGGAGCCGGCTGTGCCCAGGCAGCAATTGCGGTGGCTAAATGCATCTGATAGTATCAGAATGCCACCAGGTTCTAATTTTAATTCGGCTCAGGTAAGCTTGTTTTAATCATGATGCAATAATGTTCTAATATGGGTTTTTCTGCAGCGGAGAGTGTGTGAAACAGCCAAGGCCACCTAGTGGGTTTCCATGACCAAGCAGGGAATCGAACCCTCATCTCCAGACTCATAGTCCAATGCTCAGACCACTGCACCATGCTGGCTCTAATGGATTACAGTAGGCACAAAATATTCTCTTCCTTTCATGTTTCTGTTAGTCTAAAATGACACATAAGTACATGGGCCAAATTAGGAGCAAAGGGAATGCACTGCAGTGTACCAAATGCCAGTTGGAGGAGTTGAACAATTGGTGATGTTAAAAAAAAAAAAAAAACGTACAAGGACAGCTGAAAACAATGAGCAGAGAGTTACACAAAGATGTCATTATGACCTTCACAGTGCAGCAAAAGTAATGGGAAGTTATTTCCATTGCTGAAACACAACTGTCTATTGTTTCCTGGACATAAATGGACCATTCAAATTGCCCATTGTGTGCTTTCTCATGGGAGCTGCCTTGCAAAATAATAAGACTTAACACCTTTAGATTTATATGAATACAAATCTATCTGATTACAGCTGTCTCTTGCCTCTTTAGCTGTGTTACAGTTATTTTATTTGTTAAGAGCTGGATTAGTTAGTAACCCCAGGGTGAGCCTAATTAAGGGAAAGTGAGAGAAACCATTAAGTACTTGAGAAGTCTCAAGGAATGTTTTGAAATATAAAGCTGTTCAATTTGAATTTATTGGTTTTGTTTTTTGTGGAGTACTGGCAAGATAAGTGGCAATCTGCCAAAATAGCTATAAAGCTCATGGCTACAGAAATAAGTAGAATGAAAGGGACTGTTTGTTGTCCCATGTTGAGAACTGTCTCACTTTTGACTAGAGCTAGGGAAAATTGCTTCTTTGGACTATAACTCTGAGCATCCCACAGCCAAAGGTCAGATTGATTAGAGGATGCTGGAAAATATAATCTAAAAAAGTAACCTTTTCAAGGTGTGTGTGTGTGTGTGTATTATGAGGCACAGATTTTGTCCCTACACATTAGGATGTTTCACACAATGGGAAACTGGAATTTTGGTATTTCAAAGTACATTTGGCCCTCTGTATCAATGGATAGCTTGAAAATATTTTTAAAATGCATAAATTCCCTAAAGCAAACCTTGATTTTGCCATTTTATATTAGGGACACCATTTTATTATGTCATTGGATATAATGGGTCTTGAGCATCCATGAATTTTGGTATCCACAGGTGGTCCTGGAACCAAAACCCCAGCAGATACCAAGGGCCCACTGTATTATCCATTAAATCCAGAGATGCTATCCATATTTTAAAATTTGGATGTATACTTGATATGCAGGCAATTGAGTAGAGTTTTGATGGCCCTCTGTCAGAAAGGTTCCCATGTTGGGAGCATCCCAGGGCCTGAGAAACTGCAGCATCTAAGCAGAGCAGTGGAGGATAGGGAGGCTTGGAGATGTCCCATCCATGGAGTTGCCATGAGTCAATGGTGACTTGAGGGCAGTTAACAACAACAACAACAACAACAATAAATATCTTTCATAGTTGGGTTAGCACCTCTGAAAAAAAAAACAACAAACAAAAAGAAAAACCAACCCATGTTACACTGCCTCCTTTGATCCTCAGGTTTCTCTTATTTCGCTAGAATCTGAAACCTCTAGCTGGCTTTCTCAAATTTCTTTCTGTATATGTAGCACAAAGGCAGATCATATTGTAACTAAACTGGTCATACTATAGTTTGCAAAGCTGTTAACCACAATGTGTGGTAGGCTATGAAGAATTAGGTAATGATGCTGTAACTTTTCTTGGAACCTTTCCCAAACAATATGAGCCATTCCCTTAAGATCCCATGTCTTCTTCCATGCCTCATTTAGCCTTGTAATTTGGACAATGGGCTGAAGAACAGAACAGCTGCTGCTATAGTTTTGATTTAGTTGTCACGAACATCTGGAAACTGATGGAAGAATTATAAGGAACTAGAGTCACAAACTATCCCCCTATGCAATCTCTGAGCAAGAGTGAATGGGAATTCATGCCCAGTGTTAATGAAAACAGTAAACAGTTCTCTGAATGGCTTCTTACATGTATAATTTGAATGCAAAATCACAGCTTCATATTCATTATAGATGCTATAAAATGGCAGTAAATCCTGAAATTTATATCCAGCTGAATTTTCCATAAATGATGTGTGCTTTATTGTCAGCTAATACACAGTTACTGCTGTCAAATGTTTGGTCCTGTCAATTTTATAACTCTTTACCATACATATTGGAACAGAACGTTCATATTACCATAGTTAAGGATGAGTTGCAGTTTCCATAAAAAAAACTTCTGTTTTCAGTCATAAAGAAGTTATTCCGTGTGTTAACCTGGCACAAATGGGTTGGGGTGGGAGGATGGAGATTTTAAAATAAAAACCTCAAAGCTGTATTTTTTGTACCCCATTATCAACCAGACTATCTCTTCACTAGTCATCTATGCATGCATGCTGCCCATGTTGGATGCTTTTGGCTCAGGATTCATTTTCCTGGTCTTCAGTATGAAAGTAAAAAGAATCCATATTCACATGTGGAGGAAAAACATGTTCTAAAGGGGAAACATTATGTTTTACTGATATGAATTAATTACCTCTGCATAATGTCCAAGAACAACAGGAGTTCAGAAAAACAATAGGCATAGATCCAAGCCCGGTTCATTGCATCTCTGGGCTATATCCTGGGCATAGCAGTATCTGTCTTGGGCTTTACTTTCATACCACCACTTACTGGGAAAATTGTTTCTTAGATAGACAGGCCAGTTTCTTGGAGAAAGTTGTTGCTGAAGGAAGCAAAGATGTGACAGACTCTAGACACATTCTCTCCTTCAGCCAGCTGAGGTTCCAAATGGATGGCCTGGTCTTCCTTCTTTTCTTTATTTGTATGAGGTACCATTTTAGAGTGTCTTTGCAGGTGGCACCAGAAAGGCTGTAGATCCAAGTCTTAATCCAGCAGTACACAGAATAAAGAGTGTTAGCAAGCTAGTCCTGACTTAACTGTGGACAATGGGATACCATCGCTGGAATGAAGTAGTTCAAGGACTACCAAGTGGCTGTTGTTCCTGTCATTGCATTGGCTCTGTGTTCTTCTTTATGTGGAACAATTTTCTGTTTCAAGTGAGGATGGAATGAATATTCATAATTATTTGAA